TGGAACTAGAGTTACAGATGGTTGTTAGCTGCCATGTGGGTGTTGGGAACCAAACCCTGTCCTCTGCAAGAGCTGCCAGAGCTCTTAACCACTGAGCCATCTCTCCAGCCCCAAGAGGAGATTTTCACAAGGTAACCCAACCTTGAATTGATTCTCTGGTAACAGCTTGGGAAGGGCTAGCTAATGAACTGGGTTGCTTTCTGCCCTAGGTCCTGCAAGCCCTTCCTTTGTCGGGGAAGGAAGAAAGGAGCTTGTTCAAAGGCTATGCAGCCAGACCAGTTCCTGGAGGTGGGATCGCATGTTTTCTCACAAGTGTTACTGCCCATTCAGGAGCTTTGGAAGACTGAGGCCTGGCAGGTGGTCTAGGCAGGTGCAGATGAAACCCGTGGAAGGGGTGAGGTTCCTATTGGGGTGCCTAGATTGTCCAGTCTTTCAGTGGGTGGGATGCAATATTATTAGGCATGGACCTGTTAGCCTGGCTTTAGCTGTGTCTGTGGCCCTGAACTACATCCCTTGTGTCTCCCGCCTATTGGTTCCTTTGTTTCAGGCTCAGTGCTCTGCCAGGGCCTTGCCTGTGTTTTTCAGAGTCATGTTTCCAAAAGTGTGACCTGGGTTCCAGTTGTGTCGAGGCCAAAGGGAAAATGACAGGGACTATATAGGTTTGTACGAATTGGGGTGAGGGAAGATAAATAAAGAAGGTCTTGATTTCAAGACTGTTCCTAGTCCAACCTTCTTGAATTCTCCTGTTGTGGATCTACTGGCTCTGGTCTTCTTTCCCTCTTCCTCATAGTGGTTTTGGACACATTCTTCCCTCGCAGTTGTCTTCCACTTAAAATGAGGGTCTAAATGATTTTGGAGGATCCTTGCTTCTAGAATAGCCTAGCCTATGGCTTTGTCTCCTGACCTCTTGTTTATTTCAGAAGCTTCTTCCAGAATCCAGGTGAGCCCCTCTTTCTTCTTACTTAGGTCTGCCTATAAGAGGCCTTCCCTTGCCAGGCATGGTGGCACATGCCTGTCACCCCAGTACTTGGGAGTTTGAGCCAGGAGGATTGGGAGTTCAAGACTAGCTGCATAGCAAGACTCTGACTCTTTAAAAAATAAATAAATAAAAATGAGACTGTTCACTCAGGAAAGGAGCCTGCTGAAAGCTCATAGTCATGTAAATAATAGTAATAACATTGGTAAATATTTATTGAATGCTTCACAATGTGCTCTAACAATGCATGGTCTCTTCCCCACAGCCCCCTTGGCTGCAGATTACCAATATTACCCCTCTTTTACAGCAGAGGAAACTGAGGCCAAGAGACGTTATCACCTGCCTGAGGTTACATCACTAAGTAGATGATTGTATATTTAAATTTGATAAGTCTGATTAAAATCTCTATTTTGAAATCCTGAATATGGAACCTCCCACAAAAATGGGACAAGATGTCTTGAGCCTTTTGACCTGGATTGAGGACATCCCTTCAGAATGTTCAGGAAAATCAAAGTGCCTTTTTCCCTCTGTTCCCTCATCACTCATTAATACAGAAGACTTCTGTGACCTAAAATAGTGTGGGGGTCTTTTCCCCACCAACAATCAAGCATTCAGTTCTGCAGTACCAAACAGCAGCTTGAGCATCCTCTAATCCATCTCTCAAGGTGTCTACCTGAAGTGGCATCAGATGATAGTTGGAGGGCTGTCTCTAGCACCCCTCCACTTCCATGCTAATCTCGACCTCCATTGCCTTACCTGTCCTTCTGATTAACCTTCTATTTTTTTTTCAACCTGCTATTAACTAGAGTTCCCACAACCCCTCCTCAAGTTCATTTGATTTGCTTGAGTGGCTCACAGACCCCAGAGAAACATGTTTTCTAGCTTATAAAGGACACTACAAAAGATAAAGATGAAGAGCTGTATAGCATCAAGTGTGTAGAAAAGAGCACAGAAAAGGGTGCTTCTGTGCCCTCTCCAGGTGCACCACCCTTCAGGAACTGCCACAGGTTCTGCTGTCCAGAAGCTCCATATTCTGCCCTTTGGGGTATTTTATTGAGTCGTTATTGCACAGACAGCCATGTAGAAACGTGATTGGGTCAAATATAACCCTAACAGAGTAGAGAAGCACAGAGAGGCCATGCTGCATAGCATTCCTTCCCTTCTGAGCATAGGGTAGGACCCTTTGGGAACGAGGAGGCTCTTATGACCTATTATTAGACAATGTAGGCCAGAAAGTTTCTTTATATTCAATTCCAAGACAGAAAGGCAGGGAAAAAGTGTTTCTTTGAACCTGTTTTAGAGAAGAGAAGTTCTAATTTCTGTGGCTTGCCTTGGGGAGGGAGTTAGAAGCCAGGAACTGTGGGATAAAAACTAAAATATATAATAGCACATCCTCCTACATAAAATGTCAGGCAAGAAGGGTTCCTTCTCTGTTTTCATCTGGATTTCCATCACTAGAGTCTTAGGAGAGCCTGCCATCTCTGCTACCCATACTGCACTCACTACTTCCTGTTGTACCTCAGGTTCCTAGAAAGAGTTCTCAGGCTTACCTGAGGTAAGGCAAAGTCTAGAGAGATTAGGACAGAAGCAGTCTGAGAACATAGCTAGGGATGACATTTTGCATATTGTGAAGTGGAGCAAAGGACAGACTGAGACACCTTGACATCCTATACATGCATAGAGCTGTTCTGGACCACTGGAGAGATATGCTTATGCACATCTTGCCCAGCATAGTTGTAATGTTAGGTGTTCGGGGCATCTCTCTCTCTCTCTCTCTCTCTTCCTCTCTCCCCTCCCCCCAGTGTTCGGGGGATCTCTCTCTCTCTCTCTCTCTCTCTCTCTCTCTCTCGCTCTCTCCCCTCCTGCTTCCCTCCCTTCCTCCCCCCCATCTCCCTCCCCTGTCTCCCTCTTCCGGTCTTCCTCTCTTCTCCCTCCTCCTCTCCCTCTCTCCCTCTCCAAATAACCTAGGTATTTTTGAGCAAATGAGCGACATGATGGGATATGTATGCAACAGTAGGATTATGTTAAGATGAGTCAGGAGACTGACATGGGAATGCTGACAGCTGACTTTGGACAAAACCATGTAACTGTCTCTGAAGCAATTTCTTTCTCCATGAAATGGTACCACAATGTGCTCCCCATCTGTCAGTATGTAGGACTCCACAGGCTTGGGCGATGAAGAAGAAGAAATGATTAAATCCAAGTCTGGAAGCAGCAGGCAGGTATGCTGGCTAGGAGGCTTCAGTCCCAAGCCAGTGTCCCAGGGTGGTGTTGGAGGGCCATCAAGGAATAGGCAGAGGAGGTATTTGCAAGGCAAAGGGAGGATGTCATGAGGGGTACTACTATTGTGGGGCCAGATGAGTAGGCACTGGAGTTCTTCTGACAGGGTGCCACTGGGGTACCAGGCTGGTAGCAGTGGAGAGAAGCAGTAACTAGAGTTGAGATAGCAGGATTCTGCTTAGGACAGGAGATGAGGAAGTAGAGCATTGGAACCACTATCACTGGGTGAGCAGAAAGCAGGGATCCAGGGACCTGGAGTCCTCCTAGGTGTCTGTGGCAGACACTGACCAGAACTGCTTCCTGTGCTCTCTTTCTCCATAACTTGACTTGGGTGAGCTTTCGGCTCCCTGGACAACCAACCAGACAATGGTATGAGGCTGGAGCTGATATGATAAATGCTGAGGTGCTTGCCAGCAGGTGTTGCTGTAGAGGGAGGAGGGTTCATTAGGAACACTGACAGTGACCTGTTTGGGACCTGGCATGTGGGGGAGGGGCTCACAGGGACCCATCCCTAGGAATGACACAAATGCAGGTGTACCTACCCTCAGGGCCTTGAGCCTCCTCACAGGGAGGAGCAGTGATTTGATAGTGCCCCTGTTGCCTCATTTGCCGGCTGGAGTCCTTGTCTTCACCCAGGGCCCACAAGCAAGTCTGAGGAGGTGCTGACCAGATTTGAGGGATATGGGATAGATGGGACAGGGAATCAGAGGGTGCGGAGTATGGCTGTGAGAGCATAAGTTGCGTGAAGTTAGTCTGAATGAGACTTCTAGGTAACTTTGGGAAGTACTAAAGGTCAGGGCCACCGAGCAAGCAGTTCAGGTCAGTCAGAACCAGCTGCCCTCACAAGCCCCAGAACTAGCACTTGAGAAAGGATAAGAGGGGTCCAAGGCAGCCAAAACCAGACAGGTACCATCCTGCCAGAAAACCAGGAGACTGGAACTACTTCTTCCCCTTCCTCTTTCCCTCTCTTCTTCCTTCTTTCTTCCCTCCCTCCCACCTTCCCTTCATATTTTAGCTAAAGTAGTACCTTTGAGTTTGACTTTAAAATCAAATAATCTAGATTTGAGAAAAGTGAAAAATGCAAAGTAAAAAATCCTCCATCTCTCCCCACACTCTGACATTTAAGCTTCTACCTTCTTTCAGCAAAGTAGATATCCTTTCTGTATAAATACTATTAAGTATTACTATATTCCTTCCTTGCTTGAGTTACTGGCCATGTGGAGGAACTACCTAACTCTCTATAACTCTACTATATGCTCTGCCTTGTTTTAGCTGATTGAACTCTAGGGTAAATTCTAGATACATATTTTTGAGCCAAAGTACTTGTGTCCCATCCCCACAAATTCCCCTTCAAAGAAATTCTCCTAGCTCATATTTAGGTTAAAGATGTATGGGAGCTCCACCAGGATGCTGTGAGGACTAAATGAGAGTGTATCAACTTCCTGTGCCTCCCACATTGGGCTTTGGGCAAGGGCTGTAAATTGGATCACAGCCTCAAATGAGATGCTGGATTGGGGTTTCATTGCCTATGGAAGGTGAGGTGGCAGGAAACTGGTCTGACAGCTTCTGAGTACCTGATGTGTGCCAGACACTGGAGTGGCCCTTGTCCTGCCCTGGTGGAGCTGACAGTCTGGTATGAATGAGTTCTTGCAATGTGGTAAGTGCTGCCAGACCACTGCTACTCCAAGTCCCTTCTTAATGGGTCTCTCTCTTCCCCTTCCCACCCCGACCTGCCCCCTTCCAGTGTACATTTTGGAACGGGAAAGGAAGACCAACACAGATGGCGGGTGTCAGGCAGTCCTGGCCGCATGCTGGGCCGCACTCTGCTGTTGCTGCCTCCTGGACAGCTTGGACTGAGCAGCCAAGATCCAAGTTCTCCCTGCAGCCTGCCGCCTCCTGTTACTAGAATAAACAACTAGTGCTGCACAAGTTCAATTTTTTTTCTTTCTTTGAAAAAATAAATCTAATCTGCAGACTTTAAAGATTTACCACTTATAAATAGGTGTGAAATAGTATCTCTTGCCTTCCCAGGTTATTGCTGACCTTGAACATAAAAATACAGATTTGAAGGAGCTAGTGGGTTTGGATGACTCAGAGTTTAAGAGCACTGGTTGCTCTTGCAGAGGACCTGGGTTTGGTTCCCAACACCCATATGGCATCTAATAACTGTCCATAACTTAAGTTCCAAGGGATCCAATGCCCTTTTCTGACCTCCGTGGGCATTGCACGACACGGATGCACTTACGTACATGCAGGCAATACACTCATACACATTTTTTTTAAGTACACATTTGAGACAATTTGTGTGTGTGTGTGTGTGTGTGTGTGTGTGTGTGTGTGTCTTGTGAATTATTTGTATATAGCCTTAGCCAGTTTTTTCCTCTGAGTTTGTCTTTTTCTACTGGTTTGTAGAGGGGGTCTTATTTGACACATTAATGCTTACCAGTTTAATAGGCAGACTTGCAAGTGTCTTCCATCAGGCTGTCTCTTCACCTTTTTAATAGTGTATGTTTAATTGTGGTTGCTTTTTTATCTACCTTTCTGTGTGTGTGCATGAGTAACTGAGTGTGGTGTATGCACATGTGTGGGTGCAGAGACCAAAGGAGAGCATTTTGTCTTCCTCTATCACTTTCTGCCTATTTCTTCGAGATGGCGTCTCTCCCTGAAGCTCAACTAGTGTTTTTTTTGGCTAGATTGGAAGTCAGTAGATTCCACAGTCCTCCTGTCTCCCTCGTTTCCCCATCAGTTTTGGGATTATAGGCATGCACAGGTTGCCCAGCTTGCTCATGGGTGCTGGGATCTGAGCTCTGGTCCTCACTCTTGGCACAGCAAACATTTGACCACTGAGCCATCTCTCTAGTCTTTTTTTTTTTTTTTTTCCTAATGCTGAGCATGGGCTCTGCCACTAAGCTGTAGCCCTTACTAGAAAAAAAAAATTAAAATACCACGTTTATCAGTCAAACACAAATCAAACACACACAACATGCTTTTGTTTTAGTCTTTGAAAAATCCTATATTTTCTTTCTTTACTTTTCCTTACTTCCTTTTTTTTTTTGAGATGGGGTCTTCCTGTAGTCCCAGATGGCCTGGAACTCACTATGTAGAGTAGGGGGTGTGTATCACACCTGGCCTATATTTTCTTTAAACTATTTTTTAGGACTAGAGAAATGGCTCAGCTGTTAAGAATACTTGCTATTCTTATAGAGGACCTGGGTTCAGTTCCTAGCACCTACATGGTAGCTAACAACCATCTGTAACTTCAGTTTCATGGGATCCAACACCCTCTTCTGGCCTCTGTGGGCATTGCATGCATGGGTGTACATGACCAGCAAAACACTCATACACATAAAAATAAAAATGGAATTTATAAAAAGATTTATTTTTATTTATGTGTATGTGCGTATTTGACGTGTGTGAGGGTGCCTGCAGGGGCCAGGATACTGGATTCCTTAGAGCTGGAGTTACAGCTATTGGAGTTACAGGCCATAGTGAGCCACCTGACATGAATGCTGAGAACCAACCCAGGCTCCTCTGCAAGAGCAGCAAGTGCTCTTAACGGCTGAGCCATTTCTTTAGTACCCTTAACATAAAGTCTTTAGTCCACCTGACTTTTTTTTTTTTTTCCAAAGTTTCTCACCGTTACCTAGGCTGGACTCAAACTTGGCATCTTCCTGTTTCAGCCTCTATGCTGTGATTACTAGTATGTGCTACTATCCCCAGCCTAAATCTATCTTTTGTCATGGTGGATAGTGTTCTCACTTTTCCTGTTTTGCTAGTTCTATCCCCAGTTATCGGTTAGGTTGTTGAGTAGAAAAAATAGACCCTAGCTCAGTTTCTTCTATATACAGTCACAACAGAGATCACTTTTGATGCCAGATGTGGGAAGTCCTCCAGACACCAAGCAAGCAGGCCATACAGCAGTGGCCACTGCCACCACCAGCCCAGTGTCCTCTAATTCAGCTCATTTCAGATGCTGCCTGCCTGGAGATGACATCAGACCCCTCAAGTGGGAGGACTGAGTTACTAGGGCTGGCCCTGCATTAAATGTCAGGCTCAAGACTTAGGTAGTTTTACTGGTCTTTCTGACTCACTGGCTATAAATCATTTCCCTATCCTGTCCCTGGGTTCCATTGATTTCCCTGAGTGGCTCACAAGGTTCAGGAAACATGTTTATTGGTTGAATATAAAAGGCATTATAATTTTAGGATACTGAAGAAGAGATGCAGAGGGCGAGGAATGAAGGCAGGGGTACTGAGCCTTGTGCCTTTTTCTGAATACACTACCCTCCAGAAACCTCTGCATGTTCAGCTTTCTGAACTCTGAAGTTTTGAGTTGTTATGGAGGCATCATTGCATAGGCAGGGCTGCAGCATGGGTAGCCATGCAGAACTGTGACTGGACTGAAGTTATGTTACCTAATGCTAAAGGACTGAGTGGAGAAACCCAGCAAGGCCTGTCTTCAGTTCATGCCCTCTCCATGTCACATTCCGTCCTCTCTAATGATCTACTTAGACAAGGCAAGTCATAGGATTTCTTCATGGCCAGCTGCAGACAGAAAAACAAGGAAAGATTAGTTTCCCAGACCTGCCTTGGAAAAGAGAAATTCCAGTTTCTGTGCTTCCTTGAAGAGGAAATTATAAGGTAGATATCATGGGCAAAAACATACATACATGCATATATAATATATATATATTTATATACACATACATACATATCTTACAGCCATCCTTTCCCCATTAATTCGAAATGAGATTTGTCATCTATCAAGTTCCCATATATAAATGATCTGGTAAGTGCCTGCCCTACCTCCAGCACACATATAAACACCCCTTTTCATAATTTTCTCCACTATTGTTGGCTGTTTTATTTTTTATTCTGGATTTGAGAATGTATGTTCCATTTCTTCAGAAAATCATATTTGGTTTGATTGGAATGGCATGTAATTTAAAGCCTGAAAGAATGCCTTTAATCCCAGGACTTGGCAGGAAGAGCCAGGCAGGTCTTTGTGAGTTCTGGTCTACATAGTAAGTTCAGGCCAGCTGGGGCTACAAAAAGACCAAAAAAAAAAAAAAAAAAGACTGGAAGAAGAGTTGACATGTTTACAATACTATGTTCTATCAAAAGCAAGCTCTCAGAGTTTGTTTTTATTTGTGTTTGTTTTGCAGTGCTGAGGCTCAACACTGAGCTGTTTCCAGCAAGGTTTACTTTAGTTTT